GTAACCCTATTATAGAAGTGAAAGGACTGGCTTGATTAGGCAAAAAAGGGACATATGCTGTGCATCTTTGCCTACTTCTGTAAGTGCACTTCCAGAAGTGCACTTCAACAGACTCAGCTATTCCTGTGTTGGATTTCTCTGGAGTACAGAAGGTATCAGACCAGGTGGTTTCATCTGGTGGACCAGGGGACGGGGGCAGGGATGTCTATGATATGACCATCAAACCCATTTTAACTTTGATTAGACACAGTGTTTACCCCAACTCCTACATTCAGAAATGCCTGGAACTGTGAGTGGGTTTGGAGCCTGATGTGTCCTGTTCCTTTAGTGGGCCTGAACTACAATTCCAGATCCAAGCTGAGGGAAAGTTTGAATCTGGATCGAGGCTGTGTGTTTTCACCCCATCTGTTTGTGATGGATTTCAACCCAGGTCACCAGAGATGGAAGACTAAGCCACTTCCTAGTCCTTGCTGGGATGTGTAACACACCTTAAAGCAGGGGTGGGCAAAGTACGGCTTGCGGGTCGGATCCGGCCCGCCAGCCATTTTAAGCCGGGCCTCGAGCTCCCACTGGGGAGCGGGGCCTCGGGCTTTCCCTGCTCTGGCACTCCAGCCAGGGAGCAGGGTTGGGGGCCGTTCCATGCAGCTGCCAGAAGCAGCCACATGGCCCCCCCCTCTGGTGCTCCAGCTGGGGAGCAGGATTGGGGGCCGCTCCACGCAGCTCCCAGAAGCAGCGGCCTGGCCCCCCTCCGGCTCCTACACGCGCCATGGCCCCCTCCAGCACTCCAATGGGAGCTGCAGGGGTGGTGGCTGCAGACAGGGCAGCATGCAGAGCCGCATGGCTGCGCCTCCGCGTAGGAGCCAGGGAAGGGACATGCCACTGCTTCCAGGAGCGGCTTAAGGTAAGCGCCGCCCAGAGCCTTCACCCCTCAGCGTCTCTCCACACCCCAACCCCCTACCCCAGCCCTGATCCCCCTCCCTCTCTCCGAACCCCTTGGTCCCAGCCCAGATCACCCTCCAACACCCCCAACTCCTCATCCCCAGAGCCCGCACCCTCAGCCGGAGCCTGCCCCCCGCACCTCCTTCCTCACCCCAGCCCGGAGCCCCTTTCCACACCCTGAACTCATTTCTGGCCCCACCCTGGAGCCTGCACTCTGAACTCATTTCTGGCCCCACCCTGGAGCCTGCACCCCAACCCTAATTTTGTGAGCATTCATGGCGCGCCATACAATTTCTATTCCCAGATGTGGCCCTCGGGCCAAAAAGTTTGCCCACCCCTGCCTTAATGTCATGTAGACCAAATGAAAGGTCATTGCCACAAATGTCCCTGATGTCCATTGTCCATTCTTGCCAATATAGGAATTTATACCAGCTGAGAATCTGGTCCCTTATCTTTTCCATGTCTGTAAGTCACACTACTTAAAGACAACATTATGAAACAGTCCTGGGTCTAACAGTCCAAATTTACCAGATCTAATCACCTCACACTTAAAGTGAAACTTACCCATGTGCAGAGGGACAGCACAAAGCCAAGACACCATTTTTAATCCCTATTTTGAGAGTAAAATGTCTTTTGCCCACAGTTGAATTTTTTACCCTTTTTTACCCTTAGTGATATTTTGTTAATGTGAAATCCCAAAAGGCTTTTCTAATTGGTAGTAACGCATCTGACTTCCTAGTTTATACTACAAAACTTGAAGCATGGAGAACTTTAAAAAAGGGAAAATAATTGTTATTACGATGGGCTTCTTTTGTGAATATGTATACATTGTCGAGGTATAAGCCCTTCTCTATTACAACTCAAACAATGTTGACTAGCCCATTTAAAACGCAATTAAAATATGCAGTGTGGATGGCACATACTTGCCCATAACTATGTTAAAGCATTGAACTATAATAGTATAGAGGGGACCTAAAAGGCATGACTGATTCAAAGGACAAGTTTACTTATTTAAAAGACCTTAGAGTAGTTTTTTCTGACTTTCCCTTCCCAATTTCCCTATTTGCCTCCCAGTATGAGACACCAACTTATATTTAATCCGCATTTTACAGTGTGCTTGAGAGATTGCTTCGTACTGTATGGTGCAATTCTATTTTTCTAGCCCTGGATACCCCCGTCAGCAGGGCCAGTTTGCATACTTGATGTAATATTATTTTTCTAGCCCGCAGCAATCTGAGGGCTGAGATTGTTTGCCTGGTATATTTTATATTTTTTTGAGCCTGCGGTACCTCATGTGGGGCAAGGGAGGAAGGAAAAGCTTTTTCATCTCTAATGTTTATTGTAGTTGTGTTATTCTAACCTCCTGCATCCTTCATAGGGGATGTAGAAGGAGGGGAAATAACTTTAGTGGTGTAGTTTCTACTTTTCTGCTTTATAAGTTCTGTGTCTTAACTGCAAGATGCATGCGTGTGTTCAGCTAATCATTACAAATATATTCATACGAGTGCTTCATGTTCTTCACTGAGCCCATGGCTAGGGGGAAAAAAACCCTGCACAGAGGTGCTGAGTTCCATTTCACTAGGGAGCATATACTGTATCCAGACATTTAGCTTATTTTGTGAGAATGCACAATAAACCCACGTTTATCTTCTGGGGCCCACTGTTAAACCACCTAAGTTGATGCTTTTGCAACTTTGACATGCTGGCACCATGTTGTGCCCAAAATGAGTTAATAATCATAAGTTCAAGAAAATGTTTTCACCACTTGCAGCTTCAAAGCAGTGACATTTACATAAAAGATTGTAGTTGGGCCAAGTAAGTGGAGTTAAACATCAAAATACGTGTGTACCGCACTGACCCATGTGGTCAGCATTTAATAAATAAGAGTATCACAGAAAGCCTTCAGTGAGAAGGATCATAACTATGCTGTAGAGCTGTGGTTCTCAACCTTTTCAGACTACTGATCCCCTTTCAGGAGTCTGATTTGTCTTGTGTACCCCAAGTTTCACCTCACATAAAAACTACTTGCTTACAAAATCAGCTCTAAAGATCAGATCAAAAGCGTCACCGCACACTATTACGGAAATTGCCTACTTTCTCATTTTTACCATATAATTATAAATAAATCAATTGGACTATAAATATTGTCCTTACATTTCAGGTATAGTATATCAAGCAGTATAAACAAGTCATTGTCTGTATGAAATTTTAGTTTGTACGGACTTCGCTAGTGCTTTTTATGTAGCCTGTTTTAAAACTAAGCAAATATCTAGATGAGCTGATGTCCCCCCTGGAAGACCTCTGCATATCCCCAGGGTTATGCATACCCCTGACTGAAAACCACTGCAGTAGAGAAGAGTAATAATATTGCTATCACATGAAGAATTAGAGCAGAGAGTCTCCAAACTTTTCTATCTGTGGACCATTTTTATTAAGAGATCCTCCAATGGGGTGCCTCCCAATACCTCATTCTCCTTCCCCTCTCAAAATCTGTTGTCCCGCTGATGGACTTGTGGACTACTGGTGATCCAGGGTCCATACTTTTAGAAGCACTGGTCTAGAAATAGGAAAACTTATGATCAGATTGACTATATTTTTAATAAGCACCATGAGTAGGATTCCCATTGCCACAATCTCTATATTAATTTGGTCTGCCAACAATGTTGCTATAGATTTTGAGAAAATCAATGTCTATCTGAAGCAACTAATCTATTCAATGCTTTCCCTACACTCTTCCTTTCTTACCTATCAAAGAAATCTTGGGAGATCTGGTACTGTACCTTGCAATTCAGTTTTCACCTCATGACTCCATCTCCTCAAGAAGAGCTAAAATTAGATACGGATAGAAAAAGCAAATATTAACAACAAACCTGGATACCTTGGAGAGGACTTGATCTGACATCAGTGCAGGTGAAAAATATCACATTTTGTCTACTGAGAGTAATGTGGAGATTTTTAATTGCACTTCTATAGTTCCACTATTTCCTTTCTTGGGGAAAGGGGAGGGGGGAAGATTTGGAGATTTTAGGTGGGATTTCTGAAGAGATGCTCAAATTTCTTTCCTGGGTTAAATGAGAACAATCAACACTGTCCTTTTACATATCTGCTATTATGATTACTATAATCCATACAAACGATTCTAGTTAAAGAACATTTTGAAGTATCAGAGGGGTAGCCGTGTTAGTCTGGATCTGTAAAAAGCAACAGAGGGTCCTGTGGCATCTTTAAGATTAATAGATGTATTGGAGCATAAGCTTTCATAAGCACTTCGTCAGACGCATGTAATGGAAATTTCCGGGGCAGGTATAAATATGCAGGCAAGAATCAATATGGAGATAACGAGGTTAGTTCAGTCAGGGAGGGTGAGGTCCTCTGCTAGCAGTTGAGGTGTGAACACCAAAGGAGGAGAAATTTTGAAGTAGTAAGTGATTAAGGGAGACAATGCATCCAGGGTTCTTAGAAATAAACGAAGGGCTTAATCTTTCCGTGTGTTGCTGTAACAAGGAGAGAACAAGCACTGGGGACCACTTCCTCTGTGCATATGGCAGGGCACAGTCTTTCTCTCTAGTGCACAGTCCAGCACACAGACACAATTAGACAGCTTTGTACTCTGTTGCTACCCACTTGCACTCTAGCCACTTCCTTCTCAATTTTGTATCATAAGTCATCTGTTCCTCAACAAGTCCTTTGAGGATGGCACACTGGTTTTTTTAGGAACCAACCTATAAATAGTCAAGGGCCAAATATAATGTTCTAGCTGTATCCATTTAAATTATACCTTTAAGAGCAGTGGTTCTCAACCTATTTACCATTGTGGGCCACATATGCAGCTCTGTGTGTTATGTGGACTGCATCCACACAATGTGTATACTATCTGTATGGCCCTGTATGTCAGATGGGCCGGAGGTGTGTGCTGACTGAACTGCAAGCAGGCCACTGGTTGAGAACCACTGCCTTAGAGAAACCAGAACGCCAGTTATGGCCATCAGCCTCCATGGAAGCAGGGCCAGCTCCAGGCACCAGCGGAGGAAGCACGTGCCTGGGGCAGCAAATGCTGAGGGGCGGCATTCCGTTCATTCTTGGGGCAGCACAGTCCGGGCGACTTTCCGAGTGGCTTCTTTTTTTTTTTTTTTTTTTGCTTGAGGCAGCAAAAATGGTAGAGCCAGCCCTGCATAGGAGGGCAAATGAAATAAGTCCTTTGCATCAATAAGAGCATGAATGGATTTGAAAGTGTCCATCCCTCCATCAGCCAGTGCATATGCTATTGTCAGAAGCAGATACGAGCTCAGAGACAACTTTGTTCCTACTCAGAGGAATGGTAAAGTAGACTCCACAGTATGTCCCGCAAGACTTCCTTGGGGAATGTTGCCCTTGAAATGAGTCCTTCTGCAGAGGAGGGCACGCTGAATGGGATTGGGTTGGCCAGGACAGGATTTAGCTCATAACATTTATTATTAGCAAGAACTTTTAATTGTGTCCAAAGGCTAAATTGATGTTTAATTTCTCTTAATTTTGCTTTTTTGGCTCTCTCTACAAAAAGTGGTTTAATGTGGTCATAAGAACGTAACATAAGGGAAAGACAATGGTACTGTACACATAGCCTAGTGCAGTGGTTTTCAAACTGCGGGTTGCAACCCAGTACTGGGTCGCAGAATATAAGGCACTGGGTTGCGGCAGCTCTGGTCAGCACCGCCGACTGGGCCGTTAAAAAAGTCTCATCAGCGGTGCTGCCTAGCTAAGGCAGGCTAGTCCCTACCTGTACTGACACTGCGCTGGGCCCCAGAAGCAGCCAGCAGCGGGTCAGGTTCCTAGGCAGGGGGGCCACGGGGCTCCGTGCGCTGCCCCTGCCCCGAGCACCAGCTCCGCACTCCCATTGGCCAGCAACCGGCCAATGGGAGCTGGGGCGCGGTGTTTGCAGGAAAGAGCTGCACAGAGCTGCTTGCGTTCCTCCACCTAAGAGCCGGATCCACAGCTGGCCGCTTCCGCGGCGCAGTGCAGTCCGCGGTGCCAGGATAGGCAGGAAGCCTGCCTTAGCACCCCTGCTGCACCGCTGACTGGGAGCCGCCCAAGGTAAGCCCACAACCCAAGCCCACGCCCCAATTGCCTGCCCCAGCCCTGAGCCCCCCCCAAACCTGGAGCCCCTTCCTGCAACCCAACCCCCTCATCCCCGGCTCCACCCCAGAGCCTGCACCCTCATTCCTGGCCCCAGCCTGCAGCCCTCACCCCTGCACCATAACCCTCTGCCCCAGCCCTGAGCCCCTCCCACATCCCAAACCCCTCATCCCCAGCTCCATTGGGTCATGGGCATCAACAATTTTCTTCAACTGGGTCACCAGAAAAAAAGTTTGAAAACCACTGGTCTAGTGCATGACTAACAGATCATCAGAACGGCCATATTGCGTCATACCAATGGTCCAAATAGCCCAGTATCCTGTCTTTCTACAGTGGCCAATGCCAGGTGCTGCAGAGGGAATGAACAGAACAGGTAATCATCAAGTGATCCATCCCCTGCCGCCCACTTCCAGCCGCTGTCAAGTTATATCCTACTCCCATCCCCAAACACAGTAAATAAAAGGATTTAACATAAATAAATATCACCAAGAGGCTTATACCCTCCTTTGGTAAGACCAGCAATGCAGCCAATGGTTGATTATGGCCCTCTTTTTAATTGTCCTGCTTTTCCAAGTGATGCATTAACCAGGACGTTTCTATAAGATTTGGCGGGGGGGTTGTCTGTTTTTGGAATAGGCAGTGGCACCCAAAGACCCTAGTCAGAACTGAGCCCCCGTTGTGCTGGATGCTGCACAAGCACATTTGAAGTTAGTCCCTTATTTTAATGTTTCCTGGTTACCCCAATAGCTATTTGCATATATTTGGCAAGGTATTTTCTTATCATACATTATTGAAATATTGTTGCTTGTCCTTCCTTGGATTTCCAGTAAATGTGCCAGTCCATCTGTACCCCTTAGGCACAAAGTTTAGGCTGGTGTCTCACTGTTAGCTTCTAATGCTGAAGAACTCTAGGGTAACATTAATTTGTTTGAGAAAATATGACTCTTAGGCACTATATGTCTAGTATGAGTTCTCTTTGACAGACTGTTTTACAGGCAAATTGGGTTTATTACACTTTTTTATTTCTTCAATAGGTACAGAACAAAATAGCAATGGCAATAGTGTAGGAAGAATTCATGCTATGAGACCTCTAGAATTGCTCCCGATCCTCATTTGTTTTACATTCCAATACAAAATGAAAATAACAAAAGATCCACCTATATTTTGAATAATTTGTTTGTTTTATTAAAAAAAATATTTAACTTGAGGAAGAAGTCCCTGTATATAGCGGAGAATTTATAACTAATTCATACCTTGTGTATGAAAATAACAAATTTGATAGCTGCAAAATGAAGACATACTATGATAATTAACAAATTAGATAATGAAAAGCTGTTACTAGCATGGAGAGCAATGTTCAGCAGGGATGCAAAGTGAAGGGAAATCTCCTTGCACAGTCTCACCATCACCCTGCACAGCACCATTCATAATCTGGCTTTTAAAACAGGAAGTGCATTAAAAGCAGCTGGATGTCCCCAAACAGCTCCTGAAAGGGAAGAGTACTTTGAGACCTGGGGGTAATAGAAAACTATCAATTTTTCCCTTTTAGCACCTCTTCTCTTTCTCCTTTCCCCAACTGCCTCTCTTAGCTTTGTCCAACTGCTATCTTTGCCTTGCTACCCTTTTAACATAACAGGCATAGGGATTTGTTCTTTTCAGTGACAAGCTCCCAGCGCTGCACTGTTGGGAGTTGATATACAGGTCTAATGTCAACAAAAGGCCAGTCAGAATATGGCTTTGGAAAATTAGTGGCCCTGCTAGACTCCTGAGCTCCAGTGGAGGATCTGGCCTAGTAACTATTTTTCAGAGTTGCAAGAGACAGTCAAAGAGAGGCAGACTGGTGTTTATTGTTTTAATGCCCTAGGCTCAGTCTAGGTCTTCAGGAAATTGGTATTTATTTAAAGTAGTGTCTGTCCAGAATATTATCGTAAGTGGGATCAGAGAGTGTCAAGTAGAGCAGGTTTCTATCTGGAAGAGGGACCTAGTAGCCCAGAGTTAAAGGTGCTGGGGTAACAGTACAGGCTGGCCAGTGACTAACCCCCCTGGTAGCTTAGGGTTAGCGAGCTAGGAAGCATAGTTATTAAATGAGGATCAGTATCAGGGATGCAGAATGAGCGCCTCCCTGAAATTGGTTGGAAAATGTAGCTCTGAACCCAGATAGTGTAGGAATCGTGAGAGCTGATACAAATAGGACTCTGCAGAATACGTTGCAGGGCCTAAATTAGGTGTACCATAGCAAGTAAAGAAAGGGTGGAAAGTTGTATAGGAAGATGTGTTGTAAGTGTGACAAACTGATATATATTTATTCTTATATGTCTCTTTTGCTACTTTATGTATTTTTTGTTTAATAAACTGGGGACCAGTGTCTAGAACAGGGGTAGGCAACCTTTGAGAAGTGGTGTGCCGAGTCTTCATTTATTCACTTTAATTTAAGGTTTCGCGTGCCGGTAATACATGTTAATGTTTTTTAGAAGGTCTCTCTCTATTAGTCTATATTATATAACTAAACTATTGTTGTACGTAAAGTAAACAAGGTTTTCAAAATGTTTAAGAAGCTTAATTTAAAATTAAATTAAAATGCTGATCTTACGCCGCCAGCCTGTTCAGCCCTCTTCCAGCCTGGGGTTCTGTTCACCTAGGCCTGCAGCGGGCTGAACATACAGTGGGCTGTATTTATTGCTTTAACAGCCCATAGGGGATGTGAGGAGAAGAGA